TCATTATTTCCAAGCATCCAAGAATATTTTTCTCAAAGGTAACCTCTTTTTCATATTATCAAAAATTCCTTATTTGATTTTTAAATAAATGAATTAATAAAACTTTATTGCACAATTCCCATGTGTTTGTGTCTGTTTCCATTCTAGTCGTTGATATTTTAAATGAAATAATATCCTTTTGACATAGTTATAAACTATGAATTCGTTTGTAGTAGAAAAACATGTCACTGAAAATGTTGTGGAGATTACGAGGTGTTGATAAAGAATAGAAATATTGATGCGAAGTACATTTCATATTTTGTTTCATATGTTATAAACAGGTACCCAATCCTATCTGTACATGAACACTTGTCTGTCAAGCAAGATAAGTATATATTGTATGCCCCAAAAGCGTTGCCCTAAAATTTCTGGGAGACTACACAGGTAAAAGACTTGTTACATACCAGTCCATGATAGTAAGAGGCGGCCTTTTAGAGATGCTTGTAGATTCGACACAGAAAAGAAATTGATTGTAGTTCTTATTATTACACCTCGTAACTCTATCATGTCTCTAACTATTTTACTCGACAGTGTCACATCTGGTTAGCTTATTATGAAATAGTATGATACATTGTTATGCTACTGTGGGTGGGTTACGACATTTAGGAGAAATGACACCTTGAAGTGCCATTAAAGCAGCCCCATTCTTTGTGGACATCTACACCGATATAAATTTAACTATTTACACAAAACTTAATACACATGTACATCGAATTGCACAGCACTGTTAACTTCACTATACAACGTAAATAAATACAGTTATGAAACACACCAATTTGTAAAACCAAAGTTTTCATATTGTTTTTGATTATATGAACAACACCGACATGCCGATCAATTGTGTTAACATATTGAACTGGATACTTTCTCCGTGTCGTCATACATGTTTAATATTTACAATAAATGTATACCGATAGTCAGGTGTTAGAATAGACAATGGTTAGCGCACTCCATGTTAATAATGGCTGAGGTACTCTTTGTAAACAATGGTTGAGGAGTTCGTCATATCCTTTACATCATGTGATCAGCATTCAAAGCACATTCGATCAAAACCCCTTAAGTATTAACCTAGTCATGGTTTAAGTGCACACTGACAATCACACTCATCATACCAAGTGTTCATTTCTATAAGTAAAAAAACAGTTTATAATATTCAAGATGCCATAGCTTTATCTTAAAATGTTGTTTCAAAAGGGCTAAAGGTACAATAGGAAGAAAAAATCTTGCTGGCCACATCTCAATGTATAGTTTTTATTACAAGATATATGTCAAACAAATATGAATTAATCTTGTCTGTTACAAAAATAAGCATTTTGCGTTAATGTCATTTGAAAACGTTAAAACCAAGTTACATATTTTCTCATATTATGTGAATATGGTTCCATCCTAACTTGTCCTTGATGTGATGCGCATCTTGTTCTGTTGATGTTGTATGTAATGTTGTTTTCCTAGACAGTAACATAGAGATACGTTTGTTCTAGTACTGAAGTTGTAGTAATGTTTGCCAACTTAGTTGTCAAATAGCAAAGTACTATCGTTGACTTTTGGTCCCTAGTTTTTAACACCTCCCTGATCTATTAGCAGTACTGATAATTAAAAGAGCAACTAACCTGAATAATGGCATCACAGTCTAGGTCACCCTAAAATCACCATATCAATCACGTTAAATTCTGTGAGGAGTTAGACAAATAATGATGTTTAAAAAGTTAGATGAATCTTCAACCTACAATGCATGTCTGACCCTCCAAGCAAAGCTATTCTCAAACCGGAATAATCCGTTTCCAACAGAGACAAAGTTTTCAAACCTAAAGATAATAGGAGAATAACAAAGTTTATATCGACGACATACATACACACAGGCGATTGCATGTCGTTGATACAGTAAGCTAATATTGAAATACACTGCATCAGGCTCTTAGGCGACAAGATATGAGAAAAAGACATTTACACGGGGATCTATGATAAAGAAAAAGTACCAGGTAAATAAGGTCAGATATTACGGCATGGGAAACCTCTTCTGCTTATCAACGATATCCATCATTGTTTGTATCTGTAATGTTACGTCATCAGACTGAGCTATGGATAAGGGACTGCAAAACCTCAAGGTACAAAAGATAGCAATACATAAAACGTTACAATAAATATAATATTTGTCGCCATTGTTTGTAATCCATAACTCCATCAGGCAAAATATATTCGATTGCGACAATATTGATATGTATTGCCTAATTTACCTGTTACCTGTCTATTGTTTTCACATGATTTGACACCTGTCAAATATATTAAATTTCTAAACGATTGTTGCATGTGAAAAATGTTTTAAAACAACTTGTAAAGGTTTCACGTCTGATTAGTGATGAAGGAGACTAACATGAATATATGTTGAAGCACTACCTCTAAATCCATCATGATACCAATGTACAGGTAAATCATGTTCATTATTACATAGTGGTACGTGGGTATAACATGATCACTTGCGTCCGTTCGTCTTCTTAGATGACTTCGGTTGATGCTCGAGTTACCTCATGCATTGTACACGTGTATGCAAATCTAAATATTGAGATTAAGTAAACTTATAAATGTCAAATTGTTGTTTTCAGTAGGTCAAATTATCTTGTTATTGGTGTAAATAACAAGTATCAATTCAGATAACATGGAACCGGATACGATTCCTATTGCAGAATCCCCCTAAGAGTGGCATACAGAAGGAAAATCGAATGATATCAGCAACATTTGATTCTCCAATGATATCAAAATAAATTTGATCGCCAAGTACTTGATCATTTAGGGTAAGTAAATAAAAAGAGAGACAAAGATGGACTCAATAGATAGTAAATTGGCAGAAAAGATAACAAAAATAGATATACTGATAATTATTCAGTATGGGAATCAAGAAACCTGAAAACTGTCAGAATAGAAAGATATGCTGCTAATAAACATAGCAAGCATATCAGATGTACATAAGGTCGACACATCTATTGTACTCATCAATTCTTTAATATTTGCATCGCTCTAAATCATTTATTGCAGACAGCATAAGAAAAACAACAAACACAACTGCGATTCAGTTGTTGATATTTATTGTTTTGATGGCAAAATCTGGCCGCGACAATAATTGATTTCAATACTTGCCAAATTGGCACAAAAGTCACTGCAGGACAATCCCATTACAGATCACAATTGGTCGCCGCCCAATGGCTGTATGGCTGACCACACAATTACTTCACAGGCACTTTAGTGTATCAATTCAACCGTCCCTGACCACAGTGAACGGGTGCACACATACCCGTGTAGTATCATACACTTGATGGTTCTTGTGTCGACCTCGGTCTGCCAAATGGACAGGAGGAGAGTAAAACAACTAAACACCTGTTCAACGACACAAGGAACAACCACCAAACATGGACAGAATATGCCATCCTAATATTAAACTAGAAAACTATTTCAGTATTTATGCAAAAAAGAAAAAGGGGGGGGGGGGGACACCACCCATAACCTTCTCAACCCCAACTTTAAGTTTCCTTAAGAATAGGGCATTTCCCAAAGGGGGGAGGTGCGTTTCGTCACTATCTATTAAGGCCAGCTCAGACATGCGAATGTAAAATACCCACCCCCATTGACAAAATCGTTTTCCCCACATAACTATTTAGTCCAATCCTAGCCCTCTCCATTGCCTCCGCATCAGGGCAAGCCCGCCAAGACACCCTGGGCAGGACTTGAGACCATACAACAATTGTTTGTGGAAAGCAGCCACAATGCGCTTTAGGCCCGACACAATCTCAGGGCACAATTCATGCAGGGGGGTATAATCAATGGTATTTCCCCCACAATGTATCACCATAAGTGATGGAGGGTCTTCATACCCCTTCATCATCTCTACCTTTTTTTCAATGGCTCCCCACTTCATACCGCCACGTTCTTGCCACCAGATATCAACACCAAGGGTTATCAATCCCAGGTCAACCCCAACAGGCTCCCCCATGCTGGCATGGACGAATGCCCTTGTGATTATAGACGATGCAACGATCCACACCCTGTACCCTGCGAAAACTTGTGCAAGGTTAGTGTGGATACATTTGACGGGAGGGGATTCCTATATATTTTCTATACGTGGCCGACTGCCAACGGCCTGCTGCCTTAATTTCTCATTCTGAGATTCCAGCCATTGATCCGGTCGTACAGGCGCCAATTCTGAATGAATTGGCTTTATAACAGCTACTATTAAATCCTAAACAATGCAGGGCCTTTCTAAGAATCGCCGAAAACTGAAAACGAGTCAAAGGCTTTCCACCAAAATGACAGAAAAAAAATCCAATAAGTTGGGGACGTACAGCTAAATAAGCCTGAATTAAGGACACTGGGCAGCAAGGACCTCCTGTACTAGGAATTACGATTACTACTCCGTCCCCGGATTGATCAGTTTTGGAATGTCTTAATTTAAATTTGACCAACCCCCCAAACACATCCAATGAAACATCAACTTTGTTAATAGCATGCCCCATATCAGACTGGCTAGAAGCAGTTATCTCTCCTACTCGCAAAAATCCAAAAAATGCCATGGAAAACACTGCAGCATACAGTGCTGATTCATAAGCACTATAACACACTGAGGGGAGCAGCTGGATTAACCTTTCCAGCAAATCAAAAGTAATGGGCAATCTAACATTCTTGTGACCCTTAAGCCTATTCATGTCTTCTAACACTTTTTTTAACAATAAAATTGTTTGTAACATCCCCCTCACCCAATACTTTGCAGTAGTAGCTAATTGCCGAGACATATGATTTTGCTGTGTTATAAGACAGTCCAGACATGGAAAGGAAAGCAAAAAATTGATTAACATGACTTAAATGAGGAAGCCAAACATTTCCTAGCCCGAATTCCCTTCTAAAAATGAGAAATGAACATAAACCCCTATCATAGGCTTTCTTTGTATTCTCCGCTAGACTGGAATTTAACAAACGTTTAGCTTCAGCCTCGAGATCAACTGCACAAATTTGTCGGGAACATTCTGAGGAAGCTGGTCCGCCTGTGGGGCCAGTGCCATGAACCGTGACCACTGTAAACGTGAAATTGAATCAGCAATTTCATTGATTGCACCTGGAATATGCCTAGCCCTGAAGTGAATGTTCCAATGCATACACATGACAAGCTGCATTATCAGTTTTGATTTTGAGGACTGCTTATTGATGATGGCTACCAATGCCTCATTATCAATTCTAAGCACTATCTTCTTGTTTGTCAGGACATCCCCCCAAATGCATAATGCCAACACTACTGGAACCAGTTCTAGAAATGTCACCTCCCTCATGAGACTGTTGGTGGTTTTTTTTTTACAATTTTTTTACACCTGTTACGTAAATCGCGAGTTTGGGACCTACCCTGACTCTGACTAGCACTGTGTGTGGTGCTGAGAGCCCCACCGCCCAGGTACAGTAACCAGAACTCGGTGTCAATCACCGCCCATGAACTAGAGGGGTAGATAGCCTTTTTAAGTCTAAACTGCTCATCGTAATGGCGCCAGCCCATCCCTTGACCCCTAGATGCCCCCAAACGAGCTTGATTCATGTACTTTAGGAGTTCCTGTGACTTGGCGGGATGGGTAGAAATGTAAATGCTCGTAAATATAATAAAAGCATCTGTCCATTTTTCTATATCAGCTTCTTTAGAAGCTTCCCATCAGATATTGCCCAGCGCTTATCAAGTTTATTAAGGCTGTTCTCCAACAATGCACCCAGCTCAACATATTCCTCATTCACTATCTTTAATTTCAAAGCGTTAGACACATTGAGCCCCAACTCGCTATGGACACTTTGTATCATGGTTGGTGCTTCGAAATTGGGAAGTTTTGTACCTTGGGCAGCCGCAAGATACGAGTCCGACTCGACTCCTCCCGACACCAAGGGTCCCAGCACTGGAGGTCTCACAGCTGGTCCCTCCTCTGTCTCCACATCCCCACCGCCCTGTGGGATCCTGGTATTAGCCGTCTCCATGATGTCGCCCTGTGTAGGCCTCCTAGCTTGGCTCGCCGATGGGGCTCTCGCCGCAGGGGCTCTTGCCGCCGAAGGGGCTCTCACAGAGTGCCTCCTTTCTGGCCCTGGCGTAAACACTTGTTGATTTTCTTTTAGGCATATCTACAACAATCACTTTGAGCATAAATCAAATTCCACCATGTCCTATCAATGTACAATAGGAAACCGCCCAATATGAGGTTTGGAGGGAGGGTAGCTGGGAAGGAGGGTGCTTTCGGTGACATCGCCCTTCCCAACAAGCAAGGGCAAACTAAATGTTGCCATAATTAAACAGCCTTACCTTGACCTTTTTTATTTCAACATTGTGGACAATACAGAACTTAATTGCATACCTTCACCTGTATACATACCAATCGTAACGCACCTACGTATCAATCTGACAGCACACACCACGACAGCCAGGTGATCTTAAAAACTCCAACACAAATGAAAAATAAACAAATTACGAACGACTTAATTAGTCGCTATACAATATATATACAAACTACAAATTAGCACCGTTCCCAGTACCGCGTCACTGTGTGACCGAGTCTTTGTACCCATAACACCGTTTACACCTGATGTGAGTATGGCTATCTAAACTACCTAAATAGGACGCGGAGTGCCAGCAACCCGATCCGGATGAACATAGACTGGGTTCCGACACAACAGGGAACCAGTGAGGTGTGTGGGGAAGGGGGGGGGGGGTGGTGTTAAAATATAATTAATTAATAACGGCCCAACTACCGTACGAACCGCTCTACACAATAATTACATCACAATGACAACATGAAAGAAACTAATGCAAAAGCCTGTGAATAATATTAAAAATTCGCTAAAAAAAAAGAGAATCTGAAAAAGCATGTCACACGATATCCTTAAAACACAAGCATGGTTCGCCAGTACAATCCACTTCAATCTGGAACAATCTTCAGTATTGGTTAACTAATTAAAACATAAATTGCTTGTTAAACATCCTAAGTAAATATCCATGAACAAAAATTCTTAAATTTTAGTTTTAAAAGAAGTAATTTCACGGAATCAAATATCCAGATTTTTGGCGAAACCGTTTAACTTTGTTTTCTGCGCTAACAGCTCGAATTCGTTATCCCTCAGACGCTTGTACTATATTGTATGCTATGCAAGCATCACATTTTTGGACACCAGTTCCACTCTGATCGATAGTAAGATTAGTACGGACCTCCACTGTAAACCTACTGACACACACCAGTATCTCCTCCCATCCAGTTGTCACCCCTCGCACACCACGAGAAGCATACCCTACTCCCAAGCTCTGCGCATCAGACGTATTATTTCGGATGACATCATCTTTGAACGCAGATGTTAAAGTCTCATCTTCTTGGCAGAGGATACAAATCTACTTTGATAGATCGGGAAATAGACAAAGTGAGGGTACTGGACAGGGCCAGTCTGCTTGTTTACAAAGTCAGACCCCAGACACAAAGGGTACCTTGTGTAGTCATGTTACACCCAGACATGCCGCTACTTCCATCTATCTTGAAAAAAGCACTGGCGCATCATCGAATCTTCAGCGAAACTTCGGCAGATCTTTCCAGAGTCTCCTATACTGGCATATCGTAGACCTAAACACATTAGAGATCTTGTGGTAAGCAGCGAGCTACCTAAAACTAACCCTGCTGCGGCGAATGGCTCTTTCAATACCTGTAACAAGAAGGTGTGCAAACTGTGTCCATACACGCACTCCACAGATACATCTCAATGTACAATCAACGGCAAAGTGTATCAAATACTACAAACACTGACATGCACATCAGTCAATGTGGTGTACCTTATTACCTGCAATAAATGCAATTTACAGTACGTGGGCGAGCCCTGCACCCAGCTCAATGCCAGGATCAACAACCACCGCTGCTCCATCAAGCAGAACAACCCAGCCTTCCCTGTGGCAAGGCATTTTAATATGCCTAGCCATAGTTGGAAAGACATGCAGGTTGTTGCCATAGATCATTGCCCTACATGGGATGGAACGAGACGACGTACGAGAGAACGGTTTTGGATCACCAATCTACAAACCCGCTACCCTCGAGGTATGAACGAATGATAGGCGGTTGCCATCCGCTCGTTTTCGTTCCATGGGGCATTTGACCTAATGATGCATTACTGCACAGTTGGTCTGCTACCTCGCCTGCCTGCTGCTTCATGTCAGGGTGTATGGCCAACAGCTGTTGTCAGATTAATTTTGCAGATTTATACAGTATCTTAGCCATTTCATCTACTTATTCCTCCTGCATTCACTTATTTGATAATTACATACATTATTCCTGGAAGCATTATTCCTTCAAACCGAAAGAGGCGACTAAGGCGATTGTACATTGAGATGTATCTGTGGAGCGCGTGTATGGACACAGTTTGCACACCTTCTTGTTACAGGTATTGAAAGAGCCTTTGGCCGCAGCAGGGTTAAGTGTAGGTAGCTTGCTTACCACAAGATCTCTAATGTGTTTAGGTCTACGATATGCCAGTATAGGAGACTCTGGAAAGATCTGCCGAAGTTTCGCTGAAGATTCGATGATGCACCTGTGCTTTTTCAAGATAGATGGAAGTGGCGGCATGTCTGGGTGGAACATGACTACACAAGGTACCCTTTGTGTATGGGGTCTGACTTTGTAAACAAGCAGACTGGCCCTGTCCAGTACCCTCACTTTGTCTATTTCCCGATCTATCAAAGTAGATTTGTATCCTCTGTCAAAAAGATGGGACTTTAACTCAGAACATCTGCGTTCAAAGATGATGTCATCCGAAATAATACGCCTGATGCGCAGAGCTTGGGAGTAGGGTATGCTTCTCGTGGTGTGCGAGGGGTGACAACTGGATGGGAGGAGATACTGGTGTGTGTCAGTAGGTTTACAGTGGAGGTCCGTACTAATCTTACCATCAATCAGAGTGGAACTGGTGTCCAAAAATGTGTTGCTCTCCGTTGAGATATCCGCTGTGAATTTGATGGTGGCGTGGAACGCGTTAGCGTTCTCAATAAACTCGTCAAGGGAGTCCCGACTCGATGTCCATTTGATTTCAACGTCATCGATAAATCTCCGGAAGAGCATTAGAATATGTTAAAGTTACTCGATATTTCGATATACTACGAGAGACATATGTATGGTGTACATAGCTTGGTCTTTCTATTATAATCAACTACACCCTCCTTCCCTCTTAGCAGAAACACACCTTCGAAATCGATCCATGACGTAAATGCTACAAGGTTATCTCCCCTTGATATAATGGCCAGACATCGGAAGACTTAAATCTGGTGGATAGAGTAAGTGGCCAATCTGTATTACCTTCTCTTAATTAACAAACGCCTGTACACTACTGCTAGTTTGTCTTTTTAACACGTGGCAGTGATAGATAACTATTACATGCACGGTATCTGAACCACAGGCCCACTAGAAATGGAAAAAAATGGCATACATAAGTTTCTTGGCGCTTTTAAAGGTCTTGCAATCACTGGCCTTTCTTTCTTTCTCGACAACCATTGCTTGCTATATATGCGTCTCTTGGGTTTAATGTAACAGACCAAGGTCCCATCCAATGTAGGTAATTCAGATAGCAGAAACTCGAGGATTAAAGTAAATATTTCGACTTACCAACTAAAGGTTGTGCCTATTGCAAGTTTTTCGCGGATAATTATGAAATAATAGTTCTAAATTTGTTTGCTTTTATTTTCATTTTTTAACATTTGTATTGATGTGGAAAAAAATTCATTATATTATCTGAAGGGGAAATTTGTTCATATGCAACGGCCAATGATCTCCCTTTAAGGATTTGTTTTATCAAATAGCATAATATCAAAGTTTTACTTTCCACACAAACAATGCACGTTCTTTATTTGTGTAGAAAGTAAAACTTTGATGTTACATATTTCCAAACTGATGAATCTTATTGAATATAAAATAGTATGCTAAGCTATCAATGATACAAAAATCTTTTTTCCCGACCTCAATAAAGTGTAAGTTCAGTCAACTGTTGATTGCATTTCCTTACAAAGCGTTCAATTATTAAAAAATGTATCTCCATCAGAAAATGCCATCAATCAAATATGAAAACGTTGCTATTCAGAACTAGACGATATCACTGGTCCCCTGTTGGACAGCAGATAAACTTCATTGTGAAAAAAACGGATATGCAAATGTTCTCATCAAAACACAATATATAGTGTATCTGATGTCATCCCTATCGTCTCAATTATTATCTCATAAATACTGTTAAGTTTTCCAACATTAAAGAATTGTAACTAGAAAGATGCAAGAGCGTATGCACGTATATGACAAATAAACAGAAGTATCAAGTATGTCATTTTTTCATTCCACCTGAGTGTATATAATAATCATTATGTTTGCCTCATTAATTTTATCTTTTCTTACATCGCTTACTATATCTATCAAGTAAGGCATGGCTGCCTTCCACCTCAGTATATAAAATAATCATTATGTTTATACCATTTAGGTGTCTCGATTCCCCACGGCGTTTCTTACATCGCCAACGAGAAAGACTGCATCTATATTATTTAAATGGAAT